GGAGAGGCGTAGCTAGCTTCGTAATCGTCCGAGTCGCTGTGTTCATAACTGATGGCCTTCTTCGGCACAACCTTGGGGCCTTCGCCATTCTTCCTCCGGTCCAACATTGCTTCGAGCCAGCCAGTTGGAACGTCTTCAGGATTATTGAAGACCAGAGGCGGAGGCCTAATGGTGAACTTCTCGACTCTCTCTTCCTCGTAAGTGAGGAATGGCCTTGACCCCACGACTGTTCCTGAGGAACCTTCGGTTTGGCGCCGTTGCTTCGCGCTGTGCGTCAGGGATCTTTCGTCTCCTGAAGTGCCAACTTCCATATCGGAGGTGTTGTCCTTCTTGCTGGCCAGGACCAGGGATTGATCCGACTTTCCGGACTTGCGATCGCGCTCAACCTTGAGGTCGAGCACCCGATGAGGCTTCTTGCCGACGACTGCGGGGCCGCCAGCAAGCCAGCTAGTCAGGGAGACCGTGTATTCGCCATGCTTCAAAATGCTCGCTGGTGACCGGTCAACTTCTTTGCCCTTCTTCCGGCCGGACGGAGCCATCTTGAAAAAATATGGGAACGCTTGTGAGTGTCGCTAGACTTGATTGCAAGGTGAGAATAATATCGTTTTGCGAGTAAAAAGGCTGAGCACTTGTCAGCGATGATTAGAGGGTGGGTGAAACAGATCGGGGTACCAGACTTGTGGTGTCTTGATCGAAAATGAATTGACGAGCTTGTTGAGTGATGGTTTGAGTGCAGTTTCGAGAAGGAGGGGTAATGAGTAGGAGAAAATCAGAATGGCAGGGAACTTTTAAAAGTACTGCGTGGGCGATGGTGTTCTCAGGTTGCAAGATCGGTGCCAGTTTGCATAGGAAGCACGGCTTTGAACTGCCTGCAGTCCTGATGTATGTTCGCCCGCTTGGTCGCAAATGATGGAAGGTGAAGGATGAAGATGAATGGCAGGTGAATACTCAAAGGTCACCAGCTTGCAAGTCCGCAGGTTGCCATGGAAACCGGCGCTGTCCAGTGTCGTCCTCACCCCGTCCCAATTCGAACTACTTTCATCCCATGTCATCCTGGACAAACCACCAGTCAAGATATCCGACCCCATGCAAAGACGAATAAAGATAAACCCAAACAAGAGTCTGGAAGACCTTGCTCAAGCATCCGACTCTCAATATTCAACGAACTACATCGAACCATGGTATGTCGAAGAAGAAAAAGGTTGTCGTTGTTATATGGTTGCACACGCAAACCGTGGGATGACGTTGGGAAAGGTGTAAAGCCGCATTCCGGATTCCGAACGGGGGTCTCCCGTGCTCTTATCTCTGCTGACTCATCTGGTGTGGCCCCCATTGTCCCCCTGGGAAAGATATCCACTCATATGAAAAGGCAGAGACTCTGAAAGGATCAACATTTCAGCTGGGACTCACCCTTTGCTACTCATGTTGCTTGTGTCTTTGCCTCTTGTCGGTTCTTGCATCTTTTGATTCCTCTCTCCTGCCATCGTCAAACATCAGCATCGGGTTTTTACACACAGTTTTCTGGACGAAAGACTTACTCACCATGGACGAAATCAACTCCCTTCCCGCCAACTACCACCAAGCCCTCAAGCTTATCGACGAGGCACACGCCCAGGATCCGAGATCGGTCGAGAGGGAATCCGGTTCTGTGCCGTTCGAGCTCGATTATGCCCAACATATGACACGATGGTTGGCGTTGCGGGAACCTGAAGCGTCACCCGTTTTGCAGCTTGCATGCCGGGCTCAACATTTCCGACGGTTCGTATTCATCATCATCATCATCAACTTCCCTTGTTTGCTGATCATATGTATGAACCTCTTTCTCACACACATTGCCAAAACACAAAACAGATGGGAAATCCCGCGAAGCAGCTACCCCATGACTCGGCCCGGATATCTCACGTGGCGCGCCAAGCTCAAGTCTCAAGCGGCCAAGCAGGTGGCGGAGCTGCTCGCCGACGCCTCCATCCAGCCTCCGCTGAGCCAGGAGGAGATCGACCGGGTGGCCGCCCTGGTAAGGAAGGAGGATCTCAAGACCGATAGCGACACGCAGGTGCTGGAGGATGTCGCCTGCCTGGTGTTTCTGGACGAGCAGTTCGACGACTTTGAGAAGCGGCCGGATATCGACGAGGAGAAAATGATGGGCATCTTGAGGAAGACTTGGGGCAAGATGAGCCCGTCTGGTCATGCGCTGGCCCTCCAGATGCACTTGAGCGAGCGGGCTAAGGTCCTGATTGAAAAGGCTTTGGGGGCTTAAAAATCGGCAAATAAAGGAAACAGGAATGAATATTCAAATGGAGGTTCAAACAGTTGTGGACAAAACTTGATATCGCGTGTTTGCATGAAAGCTTGTAAAGTGCCGACGGAGAGCGTTGAGAGGCTGGAGGTAGCGTCCGGGGGAAGCTTTTTATTATGTGAATGGGGACAACAGGCCTGTGCACAATTCCTGAATGAGAGGACTGCTTATTACCTTAGAGGTAGCTAGGTTGCGGCGTCGAATGCCCGATGGCTGTTAAGTGGAATGCATTCTCTGCTCAGCGGGCAACATGTACCTACAGCACCCAGTTGGCTTCAGGTACTTGGGGGTTGTGGTGGTGGGACTTTTCTCAACCCCCTCTTCATTAAAGAGGGGGAAAAAAATTTATGGGACAAACTTTTATTATGGGACAAACAGAAAGACTAGCGAACCGCTTAGAAAACTCGCCCAACCGCTGCGAACCAATATACCCGAAATATATATGAACAACATCCTTATTCCCACTTTTCTCGCCAATATAGTAATAGAAATTAATGCAACTTTAAGAAAAAGCCTTTCGAAACTTCTTCTTACTTCTCAAATTTTCTTAAATTTTTAGAAAAAAGGATAGATATTATTCTCGTTGTTACATCTCCCCTACTAACAATTTTCTAAGCAGTTCGCTAGTCTTTCTGTTTGTCCCATAATAAAAGTTTGTCCCATAATTTTTTTTCTCCCTCTTTAATGAAGAGGGGGTTGAGAAAAGTCCCACCACCACAACCCCCAAGTAGGTGGCATGCATAGTCGCCAGGGACTGCCAGGGCCTAAACAAATGACCCACTTCCCCAGTGCCGGCCGAACAACCCCACTCTTTTCCGGAGCGGGGGACTGGTTGATTCCGGCCGGGTCTCGGCCGTTTGAGGTGGTCTACATAGTAAGCTCGGGGCCAATTCCCCCGAGTTTGTGTCGTTTTGATCATCAACCTCGGTCTTGTGTTGCTATAAGACCCGATACGCAAATGGCTTTAAATCCAAGCTGAATGTCTTGATTTCTGTCCCTCCCCTCCCCTCCCATCTGCACCGTCACCATCAAAACAACCACCATCACCATCTTCAACGGCATTAACATCAGCATCGCCATCACCATCATATACACAAAATGACGATTCCACTTACAGAAACAACCATCACTCCCCCTCACAACCTCCCCTCCCCAAAACCCCCCCTCCACACCCTCCTCTCAACGCACGACTTCGCCCATGCCGCCTACTTCACCTTTCCCCCCAAAACCCACGCCTTCGTCACCTCCGCCGCCACAGACCTGGTCACCCACCGCTCCAACTCCCACACCTACAGTCTTATAACCCTTCGCCCTCGCATCCTCCGCGACGTTTCCTCCGTCTCCATCCACACCACCATCTTAGGAGAACCCGTCTCCTCACCCATCTTCGCCGCCGCCACTTCCCTGGGGATAACAGTCCACCCCGAGGGCGAGAAGGAAATCGGAAGGGCATGTAAAAAGTTGGGGGTGGGGATGACGGTTAGTACCAGTGCTAGTTTTAGTGTGGGGGAGATTGCTGGTGCTGTGCGCGATTGCGAGGTGGAGGGGGATGGGGTACAAAAGGAGATTCCCCTGTGGTTCCAACTCTACGTTGACAAAGACCGGAGCAAATCCGAGAGCTTACTGAAGCAGGCAGTGGAGGCCGGCGTGAAGGCAGTTTTCTTGACCGTTGATGCGCCCGTCCCCGGAAAAAGGGAGGCAGACGAAAAAATTTCTGCGAGCGAAGCGGGAGCTGTAGTAGGGGTGGTGCCGATGACGGGCGAGAAGGCGGAGAACGATAAATCTGGAGGCGGGCTGGGCAGGATCACGGGCAAGTTTCTGGATGCAAGCGTCAACTGGGGGGATATTGCTTGGTTGAGAACATGTTTGCCGGAGAGTGTGAAGCTTGTGTTGAAGGGGGTGCAGACGGCTGTGGACGCGGTGAAGGCGATGGAGGCGGGCGTGGAGGGTATCGTGGTATCGAATCATGGGGGACGAAGCTTGGATACGGCGACGCCGACGATTTTGGTCTTGTTGGAGCTGCAAAGGTGTTGTCCGGAGGTTTTTGACAGGATAGAGGTGTTGATTGATGGAGGGGTGATGCGCGGGACGGATGTGTTTAAGGCGTTGTGCTTGGGGGCTAGTGGGGTGGGAATTGGGAGGGGGATCTTGTATGGGCTTGGCTATGGAGAGGAAGGGGTGAGGAGGTATGTGGAAATATTGAATGGTGAGTTGGAGACGACGATGAAGATGTGTGGGATTACGAGTCTGGATCAGGTCCATCCGGGGTTGCTGAATACGAGGGCGGTTGATCACCTAGTGCCGGAGACGGTGGACGAGGAACATCCGTATGCGAAGTGGAGGCCTTCGATGAGGAAGAAGACGGTATAAGGATGTTGAGGAAAATTCAGCGAATCTGAGGTGGAATTCGAGACAATGTTCCCAAGGCATAGTGGTGAACAGCTTGATTTTTAACTCCTCTAAAGTCATACCTGGATAACAACTTGACAATTCTGCTCTTGGTCATCCGGCAACCTTCCGCAGACCTCAGTATTGTCAAAAAGAAGTCACCCTAATCATGCGTTTGTTTACTTCCCTCAGGGGCTCGCTAGCTCCAGTCTTCCTAAACGTAATTGGATGCTAGATGGCATTCCCATCTCCACTCTTTGTCTACCATAATCTTCCGCATTGATAAACTCGCTGCATATTATTGACCAATATCGATGGTTGCGTGGCCCAGTGGTTAAGGCATCTGCTTTACAATTACGAAAACGCAGAGGATCGCAGGTTCGAGCCCTGCCGCGATCATTTTTTTTATATTTTTTTTTTTTGCTTCGTTTCGTCCCTTTTTGTCCCGTTCTTTGTGGTGTTTTGTTTCTTGGAACTTGCGTGAGATGCATAGTATATAGTCAGTGTCTTTATGTTTGATTTCTTTAACGCATTCAAAAAGGTTATTCCAGACCACAAATGTCGAGTTTTGATTTCATATATCAGAGAATATTCACCACAATGCAACGATACAGCGTTTAAAGATTCTTTCGGTATGTTTTATTCATTCGAGCAGATAACGCTTTTCCTTCTCTTACACGTCTGCGGTAGGCAATGTCATGTAGTAATTCACGACTTGGAGCTTCGTCATTCCGCAAAGGTTCATGTCTTTTGACGACCACCAACACAATTTCTGCTCTTCACTAACGCCAACTCTTTGATCCATGACTTCCGGATTCCTCCTCGCCCAAAATTTGGCCATCTCCAAATCCCCCGTGCAATTCGTAAATATAGCCCTATGCTGTAAAACGACCGCTTCCGTCCACGACCCTATGTGTGCAAGCGATTCGATCACCTCTCTTCGACGTCGAGACTCCTAACCCAAGTCCATCGTATCCCAGTTCCCAAAATCCGTCGTAAAGTCCCCTGTCCCCAATCCGCTAAAGATATCATCACCACTCAGGTCTCCTCCCGCACCACCGGCGCCACCGCCTCCGCCGGCAGCACCGCCGGCTCCTCCTGCTCCAGTCCCGGCCGCACCGGCACCACCTGCGCCACCGCTACCTTGTGCACCCGTTACATTGCCCCCAGTGTTAGTATTCACCGTCAACCCACCCATACCACCCATACCCATATCCCCCATTCCACTCAAATCCATGCCAACCGCCCCTCCGACATCCAACCCACCAACACCCATGCCAGCAGCATCCAAATTCATCGCGTCCACCGAATGGTGATGATCACCGCTCGACACGGCCACCGACGCCGCATTCATAATGGATTCGCCCATAGCATCGCCCGCCACCACGCCCAACGCGCTCAGCTCCGGCTGCAGCATCGCCTGATGATGATGATGATGATGCTGCGCGGGCGGCGGAGGTGGAGGGGGGAGGGCCATCTGCGCCTCGACGCGACGATGTAATCTGACGACCGTCTCGGCCATTAAGAGGTCCGATTTCTGAATCTTCTTAAACTCTTCCGCTTCAAACTTTAAGGCTTCGCGGAGGGTAATTCTCCGTTGTTTTCTCTGGACGGTGTGGTTGTGGTTCGCATCTGCTCCTCTGGTAGAAGCGGGGTCGTCATCCATGACGGGGGTGTTGTGGACGTCAGGAGCGCAGATGATGGCGGTGACGACGTCGTAGGCGACAGGGCCGTTACCGGCTTCTGTTTGCGCTTTCAGCTCTTTAAGTAAAGCAGAAAGAAGACGCTTGGCGCCGCAGATTTGGAGGGCGACGAGGATCTGGCGGTGCGTGTATGTGGTGGGCACACCGTTGCCGGGGGAATGGTGAGCCCACTGAACCAGGTTTTGAACGGTGTGGCGGATGGCGCCGTAGAGACCACCGACGGACCCGGACCCGTTGTGGTGCGTGCCGGTCCAGTTTTCCAGCTCGCTGTGGTCGGCGCCACCGGTGCGGCCGGACACGGCCAGGTTCTCTTTGAGAGCGCGCAAGAGAGGCTCGACCTCTTGTGATGCAGGTACTTGACGCTGGTAGGAGCGAAGTGAGAGTTCTAGGGGCTTGGCGACGATATTCAGGACCGATGAGAGCATGGTAGATGCTTCATTCGAGATCGAGTTAGGACGCAAAATGAGCTGCAGCATCTTGATGACCGCTCCTTGACCGGCCTGCTTATCGGTTCGCAGGTTGTTTGCAAGGAACAAGAGCGCTGGTACCAATGAGGGCAGTAATAGGGTATCCAAGAGATCTAAGAGGCAGTTAGCGACAGGACCATGATATTCGCGGTGAGAAAGTCGATACTCACATTCCAAACCACTCCTCAACAGATACTCGTTCAAGCAACCTGTGCTCAAAGCCATGACGATCTGGTCAAAAAGCGTCGGCATGAGCAAATAGAAGTCCTGCGGAGGGCATGACGACATGAGATCGTCTCCTAAGCCGCCAGCCTCAGAGTCAAAAAGTCCATGGACCCAACCATTCAGGTGCGACTTTTCCTGGTCGCTGAGCTCGTCCAAAGGTCGGCTCAACGAGCCCCTTCCTAGCAGCTTTCCCACGAACGAAGCCGGAGACCGGATCGCCAAGTCTGTGGGTGTCAAACTATAGCGGTGCACAAAGGCCAGTAGTAGAAGCAAGACAGAGCCAAATTCTTCGTATACAGGCTGATATTCGCCCTGGTCCTCGTCGTACCCTCCCCAGTTGTCCAAGAGCTCGCATAGAGGATGCAGTATTTTGTGTGGTTTGTCGAAGAGCAATAGAATATCCAATGATGACGGTTTGCTGGCTAGCTGGCTGCACAATTGCTTGAGAGTCATGGTCTCCTTGTTGCGGCAGAGTGTACCAATCACCTATATCATGTTAGCAGCCATCACATACAGGGTTCCGTTATTTGTGACAACCAACCTCAACAATAGCTTGCGCTGCAGCGCCCACGTTTCCGTTCATGTTATCCAATTCCCGGATGAGCCTCTGACTTCTCTCGGAATCTTCCAAACATGCCTGAACAAGCGTTTCTTTCACGTACCGGCCCTCGTCCGGCAGTGTTTGATATGTAATTTCACCCAAAAGGGTCTCGATAGCCGACGAAGACAACAGCCCGTGCAACTGGCATGCAAAGCAAAAGTCTTGCCGTACCGAGTCCTGAAAGGAGCTGCTCGTGTTAGACATGTCAAACATATTGGACAATGTCGGGAACACATTGGTGTCGACCTGACCCAGCGCCTGGGATATGCAGAACTCCGCGTCGAAGGGATACATGTGTGTCGAGGAAGCGGCAAAGTTACCCAATATTAGGGGAACCTTGTTGACGACGTATGATTTGAGCAAATGTCCGGTTTTTGATCCTTCGTACCTAAAGACGGCGTTCGCCAAGACATCGAAGGATGCTAGAATAAGGTGGATTGCTGTCGTTTGTAAGTCACCCTGAATCCTTTTTGTTAGCATAAACACAGATGGCGTCGGAACTGAGTGAGAGGACAGACCTGGTATCTGTTGTGTAGGTAGGTGTAAAGGGAATGATCATCTATCAAAGGCCGTCCTACGAGCTATATAGGCGTCAGCAACTCGGCTCCCCCATCCATTCAAGATAAGCATAACCAGCCGACGAACATACCGCAGCATTGATGTATATGTATAGGCCAGCGCGAGAGTTAACTAGCGGCATTTCAGGTATTTGCCATGCGTCCAGCCCAATCATGTTATCCATGTAGTTATGCATCTCCGCTACCGCAGCGTCCTTCAGGTCAGATGCCTCTTCCCCGGCCAGTGCCTGCCCTCTGCTGAACTCTAACTTCACCGCAATTCCAGAGGTGTTTGGATTCTGAAGGATATAGGGCATAAGCTGATCGATAGAGCTCGCTAATCGTTTGCGGTGGCCTGGTGAGAAGAAAGTCATTAGCCAAGTGCTGGGTTCACAGAGCAGAGGATTCATATCATAGAAGAAGCGTTACCTTTGGCCTCGGGCCGGCTGAAGGCAGAAACCACCCGTTGATTTCCCAGGAAGTGAACCAAAAATAAACTGAAAGCCTGAAGAGAGTTTTCCATATCCTGTTTGGTCCGCATGGTCTGAATAGTGCCGTAAGTATCCCGTGCAAAGGCGGCGATGACGTCGATGTAGAGCGTTATCCACTTGCTTAGGTTCGTGGCCATCTCGTAGGCGTCGGAGGCATGCCTGATGCCTTGGCCATGCGTGATGACCTTGGAGAGCCGCAAAAAGATTACCTCCTCGTCGTTGAACGAGTTCTGCCAGAACACCCTCTTCGGCTTCTTGTCTCCTTGTTGCCCCTGGCCTCCCTTATTGGCCGTCGCGGCCTCGTGTGTGGCATCCGCATCGTGTTGGCTCTGAATCTTGGCCTGCGATGTCGAGTATTGGTGTAGAACCTTCAGGACGGACTGGATGTTGACGAGCTTCTGGTTGAGGAGGATGGTGAGATATTGTAGTCGGCGGGGGTCGAGAGAATAGGAAGACTGCTTCGTCGGTTTGAGGAGAAGGTTGGCAATAACGATGGGAGGCAATGGATAAAAGTCCGATTTAAGAATGGGCACGAATCTCGCAAAGTCGCTTGGGTCTAGTCGTTTGGCTTCGGCGCGCCCCAGGAACTTGGTCCATTGTCCTACGGCCGCCGACAAGCCTGCCGTCGCTGGACCTCCGGGCATGGTCGGGGCATTCGAGACCGGTATCGTTCGACGGTAGTGGTAGTAAGTGGTAGAGTAGCAAAAATTCGGGCGCGTACTATATCGGGGCTGTGGTCATTTTAAAGGTGGTGGTGCTTGGTAGCTGACGTTGTTGCGTCGCGACCAAATGTCCGATGATGCTCTTGTCAGGGTCAGCTTTCGAGCATGTGGTCGACGCAGCTGTTGGTCCCGCGCCTTCCACTTCACTTGACAGCACCCAGTTTCCAGATGACCGACAGGGGCGCTTCAGGTCCGTTGGGGCTTTAGTTCCAGATCTGCTGTGGGTTCAGCTCCGTGAATGCCTTTGAGCGGAGCGTAGCGGGTGCCTAGAGGTAGCGCGTTGCGTTGTCTGTGGGCGGGCTGGTTCAAGGTTGGAAAATGTAATGGATCCGTTGATGATGTTCGTAGTATACTGCTGCCGTACTCGGTGAAGCAATTGAGCCCGATTTCTTTTTGTTTTGTTCGACTGACAAGTGGGGAGAGCAAAAATGTTGAAAGCAAAAGATGAAAAGGTGAATGGTGAAGTGTGAAGCAGGGCAGAGTTGCACCACCCGCACAACGGGCTGTGGAAGTTACAAAGCATACAATCTTTCATGTTACTTACCAATGCGCTGTAATCGAAGGTATCGTTCCCGGGCAAACACCAGGCGAACCTTATCGCCGTAGGTCGGCACGAGCCGAGGACCCATACCG